GGGATGGGATTGGGATGGGATGGGATGGGGATGGGATTGGGATGGGATGGGGATGGGATTGGGATAGGATCGGGATGGGATGTGGATGGGATCGGGATGGGATCGGGATGGGATTGGGACAGGATCAGGACGGGATCGGGATGGGATGGGGATAGGAGTGGGATGGGATCAGGATGGGATCGGGACGGGATCGGGACGGGATCGGGACGGGATCGGGGTCCCCACGGCCGGGGAGGCCACGCCGGGGTGCCACAGCCCCACGCTGGGGAACGGCAGCACCGTGCCCAGGGCAGTGCCACGGTCACGGCCCTCGGAGCGCCGGGAGCGGGAGAGGATCCGGGGCCTGCAATTCCCCCCCGGTGTCCGCGATTCCCTGGCACCCACAATTCCCTGGCACCCGAGGTTCCCTGGCACCCGAGATTCCCTGGCACCCACAATCTCCTGGTGTCCACAATCCCCTGGCACCCCGTGACTCCTCGGTGGACACAATTCCCTGGTGTCCACGATTCCCTGGCACCCACAATTCCCCAGTGTCCACAGTCCCCTGGCATCCCGTGACTCCTCGGTGGACACAATTCCCTGGCACCCACGATTCCCTGGTGTCCATGATTCCCTGGCACCCACAATTCCCCGATGACCGCGATTCCCCAGGTTCCACAATTCCCTGGCACCCACAATTCCCTGGCACCCACAATCTCCCAGTGTTCACAATCCCCTGGCATCCCGTGACTCCTCAGTGGACACAATTCCCTGGCACCCACGATTCCCTGGTGTCCATGATTCCCTAACATCTACAGTTCCCTGGTGTCCACGATTCCCTGGCACCCGAGATTCCCTGGCACCCACAATGCCCCGATGCCCGCGATTCCCCAGGTTCCACAATTCCCTGGCACTCACAATTCCCTGGCACCCACAATTCCCAATGCCTGATTCCCCAGGTCCCACAATTCCCTGGCACCCACAAATCCCTGGCACCCACAATTCCTGATGCCCGATTCCCCAGGTTCCACAATTCCCTGGCACCCACAATTCCTGATGCCCGATTCCCCAGATTCCACAATTCCCTGGCACCCACAATTCCCTGGCACCCACAATTCCCGATGCCCGATTCCCCAGATTCCACAATTCCCTGGCACCCACAATTCCC